GAAAGAAAAAATCCTGCATGGAAATTGCAGCCGTGTTGAATCCAAGCTCAAAATTCTTCAAACGGTGACTTTGCAAATATGATGTTCTGTGATTGCATATTCAGTAGCTGTCTGCTAGAGTGGCCTCGTAGCAGTGACACAACACAGGGAAGGACATGGGAAAGGCAGGGGGTTGCTAAGCCCCTGTGAGACAGCTTGAGATTCACACAGCAAAGAAATGGCCTAACTACTGATAGCTGCCTCTGCCACTTCACTACTCACCCAGTTTCCTTAACAGTCCTGCATCCCATTAATCCCCATCTGTTCCTATAACATCTCCCTGGAGGCTTTTAAAGACAGTTTAACCTAAAACTAAATAAGACAAGGGCTAAAGCAGTCCCAGGACATTGCACAGCTACCTTCATGCTGGCTATGTATGCAAGGGCTATAAACTAGCCAGGGATATCTGACTGATTACCTTACTTCATTTGCTCACTGTAAAAATTAGAATCCATGCTTCACTACCTATAAGAGTTGTAATATATATTTAAGCTGTGACAGTCACACTGGCATTTTTCCTTCCAGCATGTACCATGCTGGAAAACTGTTAAACTCATCTATTATTTTAAGTGTGAAGGTATAAATCACATTATATCCTGTAAGCCCTCTGCTAGCTGTCCACTCCTTATATTAGTGGTTCATTGGAAAACAAACAAACAAACAAAAAAGAAGGCAAAAAAACAGCTTTAGCATGCATATATATGCAGAAAGGCACCCAAATGTGAAGTTTTCAGAAGTGCACTAAAGCCAGTCTTTAGAGGGGTACACTTGTAGAATCCCTTCTAACTTCTTTTCACTGTAGGTCTCTTCTTCAAAGCACTTAAGCAATAGCTGTTCTCATGAGCATTTCAATCAAGTTTTTGTGTGTGGACCTATTCTGTGTATAAAGCAGAAAACAAATGAGACTGTCTCACACAACCTCTCACAATTCAGCAACACAGTTTGAGTGGTATTAGTCCACTAATTAAAGCCACAAGATTATTCAGACAAACTTACATAGTTAAGAAATTTGAGGAAATTTTTTATCACTCTTTGATTCTGTGTACATATTTATTTGTATCAGCTCGAAGGTCAAAAGCCTACATTGATCAACTGATGTGTTTTCTGGGATATATCCACCTCACTATACTCTTACATCTCATTATATCAAATCTGAATACAAATGTCATTAGCTAAACTACCAATCAAATACTGAATATGTATATTACTGTCAAATAAAAAGTAGAGCTCAAAAATTGTGACGGTAGGACACGCAACCCCATGAAACTGATTATCATCTAAAGGAAAAATTCTTCATAAAGAAGGAAATTCTGCAGATCTGATACGTTAGTATATTCACCTCTGTATCCATACTAACATTACCTTCATGTTTTTAAAGGATTGAAACAGAAGAAAGAAAAGAAAGAAGTTGGAAAGGACAGGGACCACATCCCTTTTGCAAAATAGACCTTATAGCACCAGACATCATAAGATAGAGTTTCTTATGGGCTCTGGAAAGAGAGATTTTGACAGCTATTTTGTAGAAACCTGCAAGCTAAAAATATTTACTAGGCTCAAAAGCAAATAAAAACACTGCCAAATTCAACTGAGAGTTTCTAAAGCTATGATGCAATACACCTCCTAAACTGCACTTCCTGCCATGAGGGTAGGTTATGCATTTAACCTACTGTAACCCCTCTTCCACGAAACACATATTTTGTCTGAGGTCCTTGGTGGCTTTTTTTGTTGTTGGTGGTGGTGGTGACAGACATTTTTGTTTTGGTTTGGTTTGTTGTTTTGGTTTTTTTGCTGCTGTTTTGTGTCCTGAATTCATCTGTTTTTGAGCACAAAATTCTGATTACAAAATTCTCAAGATCTCTTTAGAGAGCTTAACACAAGTATCCTGGTGGTGAGTGCTGAGATCAACTCAATTTACTTTCAGCTTTCTTTTGTGCCTTTTATTCGCATAAAAGGTTATTATTATTTAATACACATAAGCAAAACCAGTGCAAATCAACATCACCTTTCAAAACTAGCCAGTGCTAGACAACACTCTGTCTTATATTAGTATTTTTACCCGAAAATTTCCCACCTTCCCTGTCAGTGCAGCTTCAACAGGAGGAGAAATGGTAGGGCTATTAGAGAACAAGGCCCTCAGCATGCACTGACCAGGGAAGGTATCTGGCTAGTGCAACAATTAAAGCACTGACAACTTCTCATAATTAAAAAAAGATGCTGGCATAGCCAGGTATCACAAGTCTACAACATAAAACTTGTTCCTTGGAAAATCTGTTATTAGAAGTATAAAATATCTACGGAATACCTGAGGCTAGTTACCACAAAGGTGCCAGTATCCTCATTAAAAACAAGAACTGCAAAACATTTCAACAAACAAAGCTGTAATAATATGCAGCTGGAAAACATTGCCATTTCCTGCATGGCAGTGCAGGGACAAACAATGTAGGAATTCAGTGAGGAATTCAACATTTTCCTAAACAAAAGTTTGACTTTTTTTTGCCTCTGTTTCTTTCCATTTGTTTTTCTTATTTGTCTTTTATTTGACTATAAGATTGGAATTCCTGTTTTTCAGCCTGCCTGAAGGGTGAAAAAGTAAAAAAAAATCATACATAACTTCTGTGCTTTTGCAGTTCTCACCAGCTGCATCAGCAACAGAAAGGCTGACCTTCTTGACCACAACAGATAAAGAAATAATTCAGACGGGGAAATTACAAAAAAACCACAGCCTAGCTGTTGATGAAGGGCAAGACAGAGCTGTAATCTTTTTGCCAGGAGGCAAAGTTCAAAGGGTTTGGCCTAGGAAGGTCCAAACCCTCATGGGAAAACTCATGCATAAAGTGCACATTTCCCCTGCAAGTCAGTGACTGGGCTTGCAGAGGGTTAATGCTGAGATTAAGGAAGAGAACAATTCAGAATAGTAAAACACCACACCAGACCCCATCATGGGAACACGAGCTCTTTCTTCCTACAGAGCTGCTCCATGCAGCACCATATGTCTAATGATAAATAGCAAGCAACACTGAAAAATTCTACTGAAACTAAAAGGAAATTTATTACCCGAAGTCAAATGTATAAATAAGCAAAGGGCTGGAGAGTCATTTGAAATTCTCTCTCAAGTAATTACCCATCTAATCTCTATAGAAATTTGCCAAGCATTTCCTAACGCTACCTGCATTAAAGTATTGCTTTGGCTAATGGCTGCCCAGATTCCAAACAGAAGATCAGTTATGTAGAAAACTACCTCCAGGAAATTGAGGCTTACAATCTGAAAGGCTTGTTGAAATTAGTACAAATAGCTGGGCACACCGTGATTAAAATAATGATTTTTCCAATCACATACAAAGCTCTAAAACTGACTTCAGAACGAGAATATATCTACATTTCTTTATACACTAACTTGTATATTAAAGACTGCAGTAAGCAACTCTCCTTCCTAAATGCTTTTAGCACAAAGGGTAACCTTGTTCTGATTATTTGCATGATTACAAGTAAGAGTTTTCCTTGCTACATGAGAAATACTTTTTCAAGAATTCTCCTGCTGAATTCTACTGCATGAAAGGTCCAAATATGTAAGGCTTATTTGAATGTTAAACGGCATTTAAAATTAATTCTACAACCAGCTCTGCAAGCCATGCATTTTTTCTTAAATATCATTAATTCAAGACAACATAAATGTCTCTTTAAATTAAAAAAGCTCTGAAATTATGACTAGCGACAGAAAAGAATCTGACCGATCGGCCGCTTCTCAGGGCTGAAACAGAACATGTGGTCACTCTGGTAGGGATCACAGGCACTGCTTTCCTCTTAAAATTATATATATATACTTTCTAGAGAAATTTTAAACTCGGATTTGCTTCTTGAGCTTCTTGAGCTTGGAAAGCAACTGAAAAATAAGTGCAACTTGATGTTCATAAAAGGATGTGTTTTCTTAAAGAAAGTTCAGTATGTAATCATTAAAACCATCATTTATCTGGGAGAGGCTGGTGGTTTTTCAGGTGCATGGCTGGCATTACTTTCATTGTATTAAACGAAATCAATCCTCTAGATACATGTCAGAGAAGTAAGAAAGACTGAAGGTCTACCAGCAAATGTTTTTCTCTTGCACTGTTCATTCTAATTCTGTCTCGTACCAAGGACACGGTGAATTTTTTTCCCAGCTTAAAATGAACCAAAAGGTGCTTTCTGCATCTCTACAACTTATGTGGAAAACCTCTCTCTCCCTCTCTCAAAAAAGAAAAAAAAAGGGCAAAGTTGTAGAAGGTTTAGCCTAATCTGAGCCACCCCCCATTTCCTTTCCTCGAGCACATCTGTCCAGTGTCGAGTTACCACCCAACTGGTGAGCATTCCTTCTGTCTGGAGAACAACTCACACAGCATCTCCTTCCGGAGCACAGGCATCCCCCAGGCAGGAAATGCAGCTGAGCACAAACAGGCAGGGAAACTGATTTCTCCAGTTTGCAAAACTTAAGGAAAGGGGTTTTCATTTTTGAGTAGGATTTAGTTTCCAAACACAGGTCACTACATGATGACAGAAAGTACATCATTCCCCCATCTAATCATAACTTTCAAGCAGATGAGCTTTCTAGAGAAAGTATAGCCTCCACACCCACAGTTGAGGAAGGAGGCAAACGTAACAGTCATCTTCTTATTCTACACTCCCGTCAGAAAAAAATCATCCTATGTGCTGGTGGCTGTCAAACACATACACACCCAATAAAACCACGAGATAATAATCCCAGTGAAATTTGTGGTTTAAAAAAAATGCATTACTGATGTCTAAACAACATATCAAAACTTAACCCTTTGAGCATCTCCTTACCAACTTTTTCCCCCCTGAGCAAGTTTTTCCAATTTTTGCTTCCATTTCTTGCTCAGCTCAGCCTCTTAACTTCATATAAAGGAACTAAGAAAACTCTAGAACTTGCCCTAATGACATGTGCCATTGGACTTGATTATTTGGCTTACCCAACACTTTTGAAGTAGATGTTCTATTGCTGTTCTTGTCAGCGTAGTGAAATAATTCCTCAGCATCATCAGCATGGGTGGATCTGGGGAACACAAAATTAGAAAATGTGATTAGAAATGTTGATGTCAGATATTATCTGACACTAAGTTAAAAAAATAATTTTCATTTTTCTCATCATTCTATTCAGCATTCTGCGTGTCTTCACATAGCACAGTCTCCATAGCATAGTCTTCATAGCACAGTAAAGATTTACACCATCAATGCATTTTTATAGTGCCTTTTGGTTTCACTCAGAGGGTGGTGAGGCACTGGAACAGGTTGCCCAAGGAGGCTGTGGATGTCCCATCCCTGGAGGCATTCAAGGCCAGGCTGGATGTGGCTCTGGGCAGCCTGGTCTGCTGGCTGGTGACCCTGCACATAGCAGGGAGTTGGAACTGGATGAGCATTGTGGTCCTTTTCAACTCAGGCCATTCTATGATTCTATGATTCTATGGAAGAGATATGATCCCAAGCCATAGAGATAGTGAGATTGAAGCCAGCATGACCATCTATAAGCATGAAATCTTGTGCTTGATAAACTTTACTTAACATTTTATACTGACAGTATTCAAAATCTTTTTTCAAGGGCTAGCAGCAAACATCATCGTTCACTAGAGTATACAGTTATGTGCTGGCATTCAAAGGAAAGGTAGGATTCAGAAGCTGGATTCAATTACCAGTCTTGAAGAGAATGCTAATTAATCCCTTAGTCTTTCAAAGGAGTGCCCAATTATCTTCTCCTGTCGTTATCATCCAACTTTACCCCATCAATTTTCCAGCTGCTGCCCATTACTTTATCACCTGTGCTTCTGATCCTCTCTCAGTGTAACTCTTGTCTTACATGCCACCTGAACTCAGGAAAAGACAACTTTATGTAAAAAAAATATCTGCCTATGCTTTGCCTAATATCAGGTACACCAGTACTTACCTGAAGGAAAACTGCTTGCAAAAGAAGTTCTACAGTGAAACTATAACACATTTTAAAGTTTCTCCAGTGAGTGAGCATCCAAAAATCACACTTCTATGTCATCAAAATGACAATGAACATGTGATGCACGTGTTAGAGGGACTTGGACTCAACTGTTCAAATGAATCATTGCAAACATTAGCACAGAGTAGCTGCTGGATTAATAGATCACAGCAATCTATGGATGAAAAAAATCCTATAAATGTTGCAGTTCAATACTGTGTCCTACTGAAACCCCTCAAAACGCTCAGAATGTCTGCAGATTTCAACAAATACAGGTGTGGAAGATGTCTGGATAGCCGGAGGGACTGGCAATGGTCTATGCATTCTTTCTTTCCTTATAACTGTTTACAGACTACCTCTCACTTGGATGCCTTTACCACTTTTCACTTCAAGAATATGAGTTTGAACTGAATATTGCTTAATGCCGATCGAAGGTCATTGCCATTTTCAGGCCAGGGTGTCCTAATCCACGTGATGTGTCCCTCCCTGCAGCAGCCCTGTCCCTAAGGGAGGAGTTGGGGATGCTGCAAAGGCAACCCTCAGAGAGATATCAAGGCCTACCTACACGTAGCCGTATTGTGGTATGGAAGATGCTTTTCTATTAACAACACAGCGTAGAATTTTACTCTTGGTGGCTTACTTTAAACAAGCAGCTTTTTCCCAGAAGGCTCCAGATTCTCATGTTCTCCATCACCGACTGGAAGAGCATCCCAAGCCCGCAGCAGGCTGGGGGACAACAAAAGGAGACCAGCCCCGCTCGTGCCCGCACACAAAAGCACCAAAGGCGGGTGGTCCCAAGCTCAGTCCCAACACCTCCTCCTTCCAAAAGCCCCCGAACCCCGCTGGGAAATGGCTCCCGGCACATTCAGGTGCTTAGCGGCACAAAAGGGCCCCCGAGGCCTCGCAGCGCTGCCGGGCGCTGAATGGCGGCCGCTTGGCGGCTCGTTGCCCGCGGTGCGGCGCGGGACAAAGCGGCGCTTCCTGCCCCGCCGGCTCCGGGGGAGGGGGCACGGCACAGCCCGCTCTCCGCCCGGGCTCAATGGAAAGCGGAGCGACGGCATTGTTCGGAAGGCTCCTCGCCTATTGACGGGAGCAGCCGTGTACACGGGCTTCTCATTCCTTCATTGTTTGCTTATGGAAAGTAAGGGGGAGTGACAAGAGGGGGAGTTAAAAAAAAAAGAGGGAGGAAAGGAGCGGGGAAAAAAAGAGGGAGGCTCCGGCCGGCCCGTGCTATTAGCCCGGCTGGGAGAGCGCCTGCCGCTGGCATGTGACACGGCTGAGGCGGGCGGCACGGAACGCGGACCGCAGGGATGAGGCTCCGGCAGCTGCTGTGCGTCGTGTTCCTGCTCCTGGCCAGCCTGCTGCCCGCCGCCGCGCAGAGACCGGGTAAGCGCTGCCCTGCGGCCGGCGGTTCGGAGCCCGCGTGTGCGCGCCGCACCTGCGCCGACGTCGGGGTAAACGGGGCCGGCCGCTGCCGGCGGGGTGTCGCGGCTCTGCCGTCCGCGACGCCCGCCGAGAGGGAGGGTGAAACTTGCAGTAGTCGCGTGACGCCTTGCCTCCTTCTCCCGCAGCCAACCTGGCCCTGCGCAGGAAGCTGCACCGACACAGCTGCTCGCACCGCCGCTGCATGCCGCTCCACTCCCGCGTGCCCTTTCCCTGAACGCCCGGCAAAGGTAACGCTGGCTCGTAAAGCCGGGCGGGGTGCTCTGCCCCGTTGGTTTCTTCTAACCGACCCGCGGAGGCGGTTCGGAACGCCCGCTGTCCGGGCTCAGGGCTTCGCTCTGGGAACAAACGGGGCTTCGGGGCGCGCCGCTCCACCCGCCCCGCGAGGGGCTGACAGGACGCCGCGGGCTCTGAGGCGGCCGCCCGAGGGTTTCCCCACTTCAAAGGGGTTTGTGAGCCCCGTCGCTGAAAGACTTCGCGATCCTCGGCTATACAAGTGCTAAACGTGAATGCTTTACGGCTGATGAGGGCATATACATTCGAATACGAAGCGGCTGCAGGTAGCATATGCAAATAGGGCGGGCTTCAAAAGGAAAGCGGGGCTCTTGCAGTTTAAAGGTGAATAAAACATGCGGTTTTCCACAGCTTCTAAACTCACGTATCAAAATAATGCTGTAGGCTGAAGCTTGGCAGCATCATCGATAAACGACGGCAGAACCTGCACACCCTGGTACCAAGAAAACCGAAGTCAAACTTCTAGCTGATTACTTGTGGGTGCATAAACTGCCTTGCTCTCAACACAACCCTCCAAAAAGGCACCACTCTGCTGCATTGTGCTGGCCTGTAAGCATGTGGTGTGTGCATATGGGATGTTCAAGTGCCACATCTCTGAGTCCTCGATAAGGATTAGCACACCAGGTCTTGCTGGAGAATGAGGGGCAGAATAAGTAGAAAAGGATGGGAGAAGATGATGTTGGATTGCCGTATCTCAGCACTCTGTTCATTTGGACAGGAGGCACTTCAGATTGGTGGGGGAGTCTTGAGTATAAAACTTAAAAGATAGGCAATCAGACTCGGCATGCAGGAGTGAAATTAGTTCAGTGGCAGTGATAGGAGAATTCAGGTCTGCTTCTTGGATCACAGCTGAATAATGGCTTGTTTCAGTTGCTAAGATGAGCAACTCAACTTCAAGGCAGTCTGGGGACTGGCTGTGTGGAGAACATCTGCATTTTTTTTCTAATGCTTCGGAGTGCACTTACACTGCAACTGTTCTCCCTCCAGAATATCAAGATAAAAGCTGTTCTCAGTTTATCTCCTTTGATGTAGAGAGCTGATTTCTCATATTAAAAAAAGTCAGTGACAAAGCAAAACTATGCTTGTTAATACATAATGTATTTGATAGGTATTTAGTAAGAGAATTCTGTTTTATAAAGATGTCCAGAAATACATAAAGCTTGAACCACCTGAACTGTTAACCCTAGTCAGCATTGTGGGTGCTCAGCTCCTTTATCTTAAGTAGGATTTACCATCTACATTTACATTCCCTTCCAGTTTTAGTCCTAATTCAGCAAATATTTACATGCCTGGGTAACTTGACTCACCTGAGTAATCTTATTGATCTCAATGGAGTTCTACATATGGATAAAGCTACTTGCAGATGCAAACAGGATGGACCCCTAATCCTGAATTTCAGCAGCTGTTTGGAAACTGGGATGAATGCAGCAGCCTCCCTTTTTCACATTTGAAACGTGAAAGGGATTGAACTTGATTTTTTTTAATCTGTTAACATACAGAAAAGTTGAAACAAAAAGATGGGGAAGGTGTGAGATGTTTTTATCTTTGTTTGCTTTTTTTCCTTTACCTGCTAACTGAAATTTCCCAAATAAGAGAAATTCCTTCAAATTTCAACCGCGTATTTTGAAACTAATACATTCTTTTATTTCATTTTTTCCCCCTCAGCAATTTCATAATGGGCTTTTCAGTGTCTTAAAGGAGGAAGCTGCAACAACTGCACTGATAGAGAAGCTCATTCTAAGTACAGTTTGCCGACAGCTGACCTGGTGGAGCCACAACAATTCTGTTTTGAGGCAATCCATCTAAAATGAACACTTTCAGCAGTCTGGTGTATCACATTCTGCATGACCTGGAACAAAGGCCCATGACTCATATCCTAGAAGCGGGGGGAAAGGAGAAATGGGGGAGGTGGGGGGAGGATGTACATGAAACTTTACTGGTTGAAATGCACATCATTTGAATCTCACAGTGATCAGTGAAAATTAAAGACCAAGTCAAACATCAGATACCCGAAATGGATTTTCAGTGGCATGAAGAAGGATTTGTCCAAAGGGACCCTTAATGGTCTGTACTATTTAGATGAAGAAATTGGATGTGCTGTTGATCGTATTCAACTCAGGCTATGCATGTAAAGCAATATTTAGTGTGAAATGATGTCAGACTTATACACAGAACTGCTTAAGTCTATTTTTAGTTAGTACATTCATATATTAATGATACGTATGTTTTAACACCTAACGTTTCATCTTTATGAATTTATCTTTGTAGCATTGCAGAATGTGTTACTGTAAATAGCACCAAAGTCAGCACCATGCCAGTACTCCTAGCTTTCACTAAGCATTCCCACAGTGAAGAAATTATGATATAAGAAAGTAAAGGGAGCATTATCTCTCATTCTCTAGGCAGAGAATTAAGGCACACAGAGATAAGAGATAAGCCAAGGGTCATGCAAAACCTACTGCAAAACTGATAACTCAAGTCTCCCAAGTCAGGCCTTAAGGTCAAGCCCATCCTGCTGTTTAATGAGCTGTTATTGCAAAGCCTATCATTTGTTCCCTTAAACTGGGCTGTCAAACCAGGCAGCTAAAACATTTTTGAAAACTCAGTAATATAGATCTACTTGTTCAGTAGTTTTCCTAAAATACTCACGACAGCATTATAAATAGAGCATAAAAATAGGCCATTGAAAAGAAACCTTTGTCTGATCACCACCGGTGCTCTGTAGTACACTGTTCCTGTGGTTAAAATGAATGGAATACTGGGAACGTGGCACTACAATGAATAGGAACGTAAAAGAGAAAAACAAGCCGTTCTCCTCTGCACCAGAGGTCAAGAATAAACTTAGCTTTTATTTCACTTTTTAAAAATAAGCTTTTTACAGCTTTTTATATTGGCAGAAATTACCAATTACATATAAAGCAAAACATGGCAGCCCTTTCATTAAGAGGAAATGAAACAACCCAGAAATTTAGTTGTATCCAGATTGGCACCACGCTGGTTTTAAATATCAAAAGTTTCATAAAAAGGAAATAGTTATAAGGATGAGCAAAGACTAACAGTGTAATTATCTAAATTCACTATTGGAATTCTGTTTCATAAAGCATAGTTACTAATAAGTGAAATATCAACAATCATTAAGACTGGATAGTTGAATCTTCCTAATCAGTGTCCAGTTGTAACCCCTTATCTCTTAAGGATTTGAAACCCTAGTCAGAATTGCATTGGAAAAATACAACAAGAGTTTCAAATTTCTCCATATAGAAAACATACAGGAAAGTTTAACATCAACTTATGCTGGGTTTTTGAAAAAATGGACAGTGCATCAAAAAGTCAAACTTGTCTATACCAACAAACAGCCACCAAGGTAAATCTTTGGAGTTAGTTTTCAAAATTAGAAGCATGCTGCCATTAGTTTTTTTTTTTTTAATTTAAACTTAGCCTTCTTATATGTCTAAAGCAGAGATTATGGAAAGCAAGACATCTTAAAAGTAACTATTTAATGGTTATCTTAATAATGAGTGTATAGATTTAATACCAGAGTCCTATATATGCATGTTCCTTTATGAATATAAAAAGAAATACAACACCCAAAGTGTCCTAGGAAGCCTGTTGTCAGTCTCTACAAAACTATTTAAAATATCTGTGGGGTTTTTTTGGCATGTTGGTAACAAAATTTTCTTTGAGAAGGACATTGATGGCAATATATGATAGATATGTTTATATGCTAGCTGATTGTATATTTTGTAAAAAGTATGCACTTCAAATAGCAATGCTTCATTTTAAGTAATCCTTGTACACTGCTCGACATTGCTATTCTTCAGATGTCAGAGGTGATGCACCTAAAGAAAATAGAGGTTTTTTCTACTTCTACTGTAAATTGACATGGGATCCATGTGTAAAACCTTTTCTTTCTGGATTTCTTACAAATAAATGCTAAATTCTGGTAAAAGTCATAAGAACTTGTTTTAAAACTACTGCTTATGTAATCACAGCACGCTCTAACATGACACAATACCATAAGATTACAGTAGATTCTAGACCACGCATTGCCAACATGTATAGAATATGTATAGAATAAGCAAGATATAGAATTAGCTTAGGGTGCACTCCAAACATTCTGATGAATCGGAGGAAAAGACCTTTCCTTATTTCAGGACAAAACATCTGGAAGTAGCACGAAGAGCAGCAGAAACAAAAACATGCAGTAGCTTCTCCCTTCACAGCTCAGACACTAAGTAAATTTGAGTGCTAGCTACAGATCTTGAACACTGCAGTTCAAGAGCCTAGCGATGCTGCTACTGCACAATACCATCCCTGGAGATGTTCAAGGCCCTGAGCAGCCTGGCTTAGTATTAAACCTGGAGATTGGTGGCCCTGCATGTGGCAGGGGGGTTGGAGATTCGTGATCCTTGAGGTCCCTTTCAACCCTGGCCATTCTGCAATTCTGTGTTGTCATTTACATTTAATAGGGCTGTGTTGTTTTCAGCTGAGTCAGACCTGCCCTTGACTTTGTTGAATTTTTGTAGTTGATTTGTGCAACATAAGCTTCCCTTGACAAAGTTTCCCATGATACAGTATGATTACACATAAACATGCAGTATTTGGACACAGTGCTAGAACAGCTCAATTCTCCATTTGCATGTATGAGTATATAAAAGAAATCCATTTAAAGGAAAGTTGCTGTCCATTCAAATTCAGAACTTAGATTAAATTGATGGAATCCAACAACCAAAAGACCTGACTGGAGGTCTATTCAGCCCTCAAACTCTCAAGGCCAAAATGTGAATTTCTCCTGAAACTCAGAACTAATGCCTGGTCTTGTGGTTCCATGGAACCAACAGGAAATAGAGGTAAATGTAAGGCTGCGGTGAGAAACAACCCGTTAGTTCGTTCCCAAAGAATAATAAACAATTCACTTCTTCCCTTTCCAAAATGAAAAAAGGAAATTTATGGAAGAATAAAGACTGGAAATATTTCCCTTATGCCACATACATAGGCTATAAATATCTCAGTAGCTGTGGACACAAAGCCAAATTTTGTTAAGGGTCACATAAGATTTGCATTAATGTCAATCGGGAGCAGTATTAGCATGGTAAATAAGTTTCAAGTGCCTGACTGTCATCAGACAAGTACAATTAGCATACTGATCTCTTACTACTGCAGATGGCCTTTATCTTCCCTGCTAGCGATCAGTTTGCTGAATGCTTTGCAGTGGGAAATGGCTCTGGCTTGGACAGCAGGCATCGGAGCCTGCCTTTAGTAAACAACGATGCCTGGAAGCCTAACAAATTCCAATGCTGATGATCCTGTTTGTTTTTTTTTTTTTTTCCCCTGAACATCTCTCCAGTTACCTCAAGGTCAGATGATTGTCTGCCAGCCTGCCTCTGTTGTTCAACATCACTTTCCTTTTTAGAGTGAGGATGACCTTCTGCAGGGTGAAGCTGCTTGACTGCAAGAGAAATTCGTATAGCACCCTAAAAGATGTAAATTCTGTTACAAAGTCTGGCAGTCTGATTTCCTGTGTGAGGTGAAACACAGAGGTGGTTTTACAGGATAATTTCTGCTAGGCACTATTAAGAAGCAGAACAAAAAGCATTTAGCTCATTTCAACATCCCTACCAGAACACTACTAACATGAACATTTGGGGAACAAAAAGCAAAGCACTGCCAATAGAACAGGCAGGGCCTAGAGCTGGAATCAGGGTAGGTCTCTGCTTCTCCAGTTCAGCAGTATCCACAATCCACAGCATGTGTCACACAGTGATGTGACCAGAGCAGGAGAGGCATGCACAGAAAGCTGCCTTGCACCTTGTAGCTGCCCACAGGACTGGTGCTGCTGTTCAGCTTAGCACAGCATCTGCTGCACTGAAAACAGCTCCTGATTGTCAAGTCTAACAGTATTCCATGGGGAACTAAGGATGTAGTTCAGTGATGCACACATCTCTTCACTACCTTGAAGGATGGCAACAGTGCTTGGCTACCTTCTCTATGAAGAGATACCTCCTAGCATCTAATTTAATCTTTCCCTGCTGCAAATCTGCCTAAGGCTTCTTTTCCTAGAACACATTTTCCCCTCACTGTACCTACCTGTCCCTTCATTCCACTTCTTATTACCATTCTTACTTACCTGAATGGTGTGGGCATCAGGCTTACTTTTAAGTAAAGGGGAAGTGTGCATAGAGATCAAGTTCAGTCATCCCAGCCTTGAATTCATTCAGAACAACTCAGCAGCTTACAATTGTTCACAATACACTATGGTCTTACAGAATAGTAGTACTGGCATCTCAGTTTCCCTTAGTTGTATTTATTGTACATGAACTTCAGTCACAGTTCACTGCTTCCCATAGCAGTTATGTAAGTCAGTATACACAATCACATCAAGACCTGAGTTCTAAAAACAAACATTTATATCCTTTCTACATTTACTATAAAATCATGGCTTTATTTTCAAAAAAAAAAAACAACAATTAAGTGGTATAGTTTAGTGTTAAATAGCAGCAAAATATCAACTTTTTTCTTATAATAAAAGACAATCTCCATCTTTGTTATTACAGTAGACAGTTTAGTTATTTTTGAAGTTGTGTTCCAGTAAAAAAATAGAATATTTGTGTTTCTTTCCCTCATATTCAGCCACAAGACCACTCCTCATGAGAATCTTCCTCCCAGTTTTGACCAGTAATTATTCTGTCTTCCCACAGACATTTGCTTCTAAAATAATGCTTAGACTACAGTGGAAGACAAAGTATCTGAAGAGAATGGTTTTTACCACCCTTCCCAATAAATCTATTCTATTAGAACCAAAAACTCTTGTTTTTCCACTTCCAGAAGGCCATTCTGTCTCCTGCTGATTTTCACCACACACATTCACATTTTGGCTTTTAAATTTAGACAGTGACATTTTTGAAAAGTCAAAGTATAGAGCAACTCTGAAAGTGCTTTAACAGGATCTAACTTTAAACCCCATTGAACACTAATGGACTACAGGGTCAATGAGAGCACTTCAACCATGTGTGTGTTAGTTTGGCAGGCAGAAGGAATCCAGTTTAGTCTTCGCTGATACACAATTCCAGTAGCAGGAGAATCAGAAGACACCTTTTTGTTATCTCAAGCCAGCATTCTGATCAGCTGCTCAAATTGCTAATCATAGCATTGTCAAATCTCATATGTGGTAACATATCTTAGGATACCACCCTCCCCTTCTGCTCTTTTTATTTTTTAATTGGATGCTAAGTATTCCTGCTGGCATAGGAAACAACTTCATTCCTTTACTGGGCAAAGGAGAAAACAAGTCTAGAATGCAAGTATCTACTTCATACAGAATTATTGAAGCATAACATCCTTAACACTGGAAATAAAGTTCAGTGACTGAACACATACATCCAAGATCCCAGCTTCAGTGCTGCACGCTGAGAGGCATCCTCTGCAAAATTAGGTTTTATTTGAGAACAAATGTGTATTCTACAAAGTACTTCAGTAACTTAAAGCTCAGAAAAATACACCAGTGCAAAATAACAGCAACAACTGAAAAAAATTTAAACTATTACCTTAAGTCCAATTGTAACCTCTTAGGAATTAAAAATCTTTTAAGTTCCTGAACATTTTCTAAGAACTGATGTGGAAAAAAGCCATTAAGTCCAGTTGTCACAGGTTTACAGTGTACGCAGAGCTCATACTTGCAAATTAAGTCCTATTTTGAAACAGGAAAGAAGACTGAAGACACCTCTATGGTCTGTTTGGATGTTGTATTGCCTCATATTCTCTCCTGAGCTCCAGCAGCAGTTCTCCAAATGTTTAAGTTTTGCTTTGCTGAGATGTTAATGCCAATAGTCTCTTGCTGAGCAGTGCATTGTGTCGTTGAAGATATTCTATTACATCTCCTTGCTTCTCAACTATCTCTTCTAAACTCGAATTCTCCCTTGAAAGAACAAAATGAATACACATTGCCATAAGAGATAACAGATTTCTGACATATGTAAAGTCACTGCATGTTAACCAATACTATAACAAATTGCTTCCTTCAGTTTTACTTCGGATCATCTGACTGCTTTTCAAAGGGGAAAACAATCTTTATACCTAATCTCATTTACAGATGAGAGGGCAGAAGTACAAAAGCTTGGCTAAACTTTGAGCTGTGTTTGCGTAAGTTATGTACTTCCTGCATCACAGTAGTACAAGGCTGCTTGTTCAGCTTTTACAAACCTAAGCTATGAAATGAAATAGTACAATCCTACTGTGGTGTCTAAGAAACCCATGCCACCTTTTCCAACCACATTAGGAAGTGTATTTTAAGCATAATATCTACATACTGCTTTTGTTGCCTGTAGCTGAGTAAAATAACCATTTCTTGATTAACATGCACTAAAAGAGCAGTGATGTTTTTTGTTAATACTCTAACAGCATTAGCACCTAACATCTGTGCTACTGCAGATCCAGTGCCTCACATACAGGTACCCTCAGCTTAGAGGTATCTCCAGCTTCCATAAACCAATATTACAAAGGCTATATTTAACCAGCACAGTAAAACAGAGCTATTTAATAAAACCTGTAAGACTACAGAACTGTCAAATCTGCAGTCAAATTAAGATACAAGTACTGAAGTCTGTGAGAATACTTCAGTCTTCCCATACTCATTAGTTGCTGGCTGACTTGCAAGTCTGCTCTCTTAATACACAGATGAGCACCCTGGAGCTTAGGAAGTCACCCTTGCAGCACTTAGAGTAGCAATGTCCTTATAGTTCAAGTGCACTGACCAGTTGAGTGGAAGTAGTACAATTTAAACCCACTGTGGTTAAGCTGTTGGAAAAAAATAATCAAGTATTTTAGACAAAGTTTACAACACTAACCCTAATCTGCACTACCAACTTAAAACACCAGAACAGCTCCTGATCAGTAGGTTAGGTCATGGAGATCATAATATTGATAAAGCATTCATAGAATGAAGGTCAACTGAACGGCTA